ATCAATCTGTGAGTGAGTGCATGCTTGTGCATGTCTTGCTTGCTTGTATGTCTTTCTTCTAGATAATTTTTAACCCTGTATGATTTCCACAAAATTTAATGGTTTTATAAGAATCTGGGAGATAATTAAACTGTTGGAAGTCCACAGTCGTAGTAGAATAGATATGTAAAATACCCTAGAACTGCTTTTTTGACAGAAGGGCTGCAGGCTATTATAACTCTTTATTAATCACCAAAAAATTCTTACAGGAGAGTATTCTTGTGAATGCTCCAACCTCAGGAGTAGTATTAATACTACAAACCACTTCAGAAACTTGTTCAAGTGAAAAGGTCTTACAGAAATATTCCCATTTAGTCATCTATAAGGCAGCCAGATTTTTTTACAGAAACAAGGGCCGCAGAATTAAGCATTAAAGCCAACAAGGGATGATAAGTAATAATAATCAGAAAGAATTTGCAGTGGAAAGAGATAATAGTCATGGGTATCTTATTTAAGATTAACAAAATATAGTCAGCCCATGCATTTTTCTTGATACTTAGTCCCAGGTGAAATAATTTTTGATTTTTTTTTTTCATTGAACACATTAATAGGGCCAAGCTGGTATCATAAATAATATATTCAGGCTTTCTGACCTGTTAAAATAGATCAGAGTGATGGAAAAAATGAAAGAGTGAAGAAAATGTACCTGCCTTTTGAGGTGTTGAAAGTACTAACTTTTCAGTTTATTACTCAAAGTCAGAATTAGGCGGGGTCTTTTCTGCTGGGGTGATTCTTTTTTCAGGTGTAAAAGCAATACTTCAAAGTCAGGATACTTCTTTCAGGAGAAAATACCTGTGTCATGGAATTATAACATTCTGAACAGGAATGATACAAAAAATGCAAGTTAGAAGAAATTTTACAAAAATAAACTTCAAGTTATCTAACAACTGAATGAAATGTGGAAAATAGTTTTATTTAATTCTAGGTCATCTGTATTCTTAGTCTTCCAGCATAAACTTTTATTGAGGTAGCTCTATATGAAACTCTAGACACTGTCATGCTACTGGGAAAAATTAAAATGCAGGTTTATCCTGTATTCAAGTGGTTTACTCCTAATTCTTGATTTGTCAGTTGTCTTTTGTTCCTGTCTCAATAATGGCAAGAGAAGGGAAAAAAAGCTGGAAAAATATCTTGCCTGTAATAAAATGTGCATAAATATTATTAAACTGTTTAGAATTCAGATTGTGCAAGCCACCTCTTTGAAACAGTGAGTAAATATTTGATTTTACCTACATAATATTCAGTGGCATTTTGTTTGGAAATGTCCAACTAAGCCATCAGGCAGTGTTTGAAAACAGAAGGAATAACTACGGGAGAAGCATCTGTAAAATACTGTATACTCTCGTGTAAACCATTCTGTCCACTGTAATGACCAGTTTGAACTCCTTCAGAGTTTCCAGTTGTTGATAAATAAGCATTTTTTAAACAACAATGTTTATATATTGCTATTGTCACAATAGTAACTGTAACACCCTTTTTCTCAAAGTACACCTCTGCCACAAAGGAGGAGCCACAAAGGAAGCATGCAGAAAAGCTCTGTTGCTTTCCACAACTTACAAAGTAATAACCTTAGTTGTTTTTTCTGTTTCCTACATCTACTGCTACTTCATCTACCAAAACGGGAAGCAGTGGTCCTGTCCACTTTCCCATGTTGCTCAAGAGGCGGTTGGTTGAGTTGCAGCCCTTGTGCCCCCTGGCGCGATGTGCTGCCAGTGTAATGTCCCTCCCGCCACCCACTCGGGATGGCACATGTCAAATGCAGCTGATGAAGATGATCTAGGAGTTTGTCACAGGTTGCACCTGACCAACGAGATCAAGGCACGAGGGGGAGGCTACTTAATGAAACTATGGTAGGAGCCATAGTGTCCAGGTCTATGTACTGTTCACATGCTCTGTTGAACAGCACAGTCTGTCATGCGTCCCGAGGCTGTAGTGTTTCCCTTCATATCACCCAAAGCATGGAGTTGGATAGTGGAGATCTCTGCGAAAGCACCATCACCACCACTGGCGAGCCTCCTGGCTGTGGTCCCCTTAAGGCTGTAATTGTTTGAGCTTTGGATGCACTGAGAGGAATTTAGGGATAAAACTTGCCCTTTGAGTTCTAAAATGTGTCAGGACGCGGCAGAGAAAGTGAATCGAGTCTGTAAAGATATTTATGCTTATCACCAGACCTGCTTACTAGCAAGAGCTTTTGCACTTAGATGACTTCAACTGACCAAAAAAGGAGTCTAATTTCATGTGGGTTTGTGTGTTCATTATTAATTTAAGTTTCACATTTTTAATTATGAAAAATATTATTTTGCTATTCAATTATATGAACCTTTTCTGAAAAAAATAGCAGTAATTTATGTGTCTGGGAGAACAGTAGAAGAAATGTTTCCTTAATAATTCACCCTTTGTAGATCCTGTAAACCTGAAGCCATCAATAATGACATACTATAGTGGTGCCACTGACCAGCTAGGAGTGTGAAGCTGATATCCCAATATCTGTCAAAAATGTAGAGCAAAAGTTATAATCACAAAACTGCATAGAATGTCAAAGATATTGCACCATAAATGTTTATTACAGTATGCATTTCTGTAAGAGGTCTGGATTATCACTGAGTGCAATGATTGATTCTACCTCTTTTATATAAAACTAGATATTTGTTTACTCATGCTATTGAGCTATTTTTTCCACAAAACACTCCCTACAAATAACAACTTAATGTCAAATCATTTTAAGTTCTTTGAGTGCTTCTAGAAACATTGCTTTCTTTTTGCCTGAAAGAAGAGAAAAAAGGCAGGAAGAGCCTAGCGACTTCTCTGTAAGTCAAAGTGTATTACAGAGTTATTTACGCCTTCATTTCCTTGAATTTCCATAAACACTGTGATTTGTTAATACAATAATCTACTGCATGCCACTATAGAGTGACAATAAGTGTTTCTGATGTCAAGGTATAAATTTAGCGTTCAGTAATCTTGTAAGAAGCTTATTTCTATGACCTTATTGTGGTTGCCTGCATTAGCAGGTTTAGTGCAATAGTGAAGGGCACTTAAGAGGAGAAAAGAGAGCTCATAATAAGCATGTTTGGTTCAGTTTTCTTTATATAAAAAAAGAAAAAACAAATGTTGCTGTTGTATTAATGTGTTGTACAAAGTCCTTTTTAGAAACAGAATGTGAAAAGTAAACATACCTGGCAATATTAAGTTATTTAGGATGTAATTATAAAAATACAGCCTACCTTGGTTTTATTTGCTAGAAGAGAAATATTGATTTTGGCAACGCTCACAGCCAGTATTATCATTCAGGTATGTTTAAAGTGATCTATTAATCACTCAAATTTTAATGATTTCATGATTATGAAGAAGACTATAGCTTATGATACCCAGAGAGCACCTTACTAACCATTGTTGGAATGATCACAATTCTATTCCTGTGGAAATTAGATGCTATATGATTATAATTTAGTTATATAGTATATTCCTTAAACTGCTTAAAAATAATGTGACTTTTGGCCTGGAAACAGTGATTTCATCTATGAAGCCCGTATATTCAAAACTTATTTCATGGTGTGAAGAGATTTATTGTCAATTGACCCTGTGAATTTGTCAGTGTAACAGAAGAAAAATGGTTCCTCCAAAGAGCAATATATACCCACTTATAGTATATTTATATTTTTTCTGAAGTGTAGTTTCTCATAGTAGCCTTTACTATGAAAATAGTACATTTCATCAGATAGTTGATTGACAGACATAATTTATCCTTGGGAATTTACTTTTCTAACTCTCCGACCTTTTCCAGTAGAGCCCTGAGTAATCCTAAATTTTCATTTTTAACCTTGCTCTGGGTGAATACTCAACTTCTCATCCTTCACCTTTCTTATGAATAAAAATATCTGGGTTAGATTTCTTTCAAAGATCACCCAAATTAAAGAATCCTCTTCTTGCCAGTGCTGGGAGATCATAGCCACATTCAGAGTTGGTAGAGGAAATAATGGTGGCCTCACTGGCATGACCTCAGTTGGTGTCAGAATTGAATTGTAGGCTGTTGTTTGCCTTCAACGCTACTAGTGCTAGGCTGAAACAATTGCATGCAAGAGTTGGGGCTTGAGTTAAAAATAAAAATATTAAATTAAAAAAAAAAAAACAACACCCAAAACAGCAAAACAAACAACAAGAAGACACCAAACCACAATGACCCCAGCTAGCAGGGAACTGAGTTCAGTTCTCAAAGTCACTGGGTAATTCAGTACAGGGAGTGATGTCTTTGAGCAAAGCTGCCAAGAGGCCTGAAAATTATCTACCAGTCTGAGACGTACTTTCTTAGAGTGGCTGATCTCTCGTAAATGATTAAGCCCTTTCAGAAAAGCTACTTACTGTTATAAATTGATTCACTTTAGAAACTGTGAGGAAGGAAGAAACACTTGAAGAGAGTTAAGAATTAAACAAAGAGGCAATTGAGGGGTTTGTGGGCATGTTTTCAATAGCGGTTTTACTCCCCGGTTGCTAGCTCCTTACTGTGCTGTGGGGGGACACACTGGGGGACATAGCGGATTTTGGTTTGTTGTTCTTTTGGGGGATTTCAGCTTTTTTTCTGCATGCTCCTTAGCTGTCTGATGCCAGCCAAAACAGATTGTTCAAATATAATCCATGTTAAAAATACTTTCAACAGACTGTTAAGAGTTTGAAGGCCTTTGTCTGGGCAGCAGTGAATAATCGGAGTATTGGCTGTTTCTGGTCTGCCTTAGTTCTATGGTTCAGTGCTCTTTAGTGGTTGCTATAACTATCCAAGGGTTTACCATAAGAGTTCTCATTTGAATAATGCAATAAGAGCCCTGAATATAGGAAACATTAATGCAAAGGGCAAGGCTCATGCAGCAGGAAATCTCAGTTATCCCTTCTAGCCTGTGCTCTCAGCCAGCCACATCTCTGCCAAAGCATACCGTAGGAAAAGGACGTTGCCTTACACAGTTACAAGTGCTTCATGATTAGTGTGGGGCACCTCCAGCACAACTGTCCTGCTTCCCCTCAGGGATATATTTTTTAGACGATTTTAGAATTAACTTTGCCAATGGCCTTTCTGTGGGATCCTTTTGGAGCCTATATCCCTCGTCCATCTCCAAGAAATAAGATGAGATTTCGCTTTCTGAAGTCCTACAGGTATCTCTTCTAGTGGCTTACGGTGTAATTGACAGTGATAATAGTTGCAGATGTAGCTCTTTTTTATTCTTCTATAGGATTATAGTATATAAAAATTTGGAAATGTCTTGTATTAATTGTGACTCTCTTGAGCTCGTAAAGCCTTTGCTGAACATGTATGTCAGGAAAATAGTGATTGTTTCTGTGTGATTGGAAAATATTATGAGTAAGTGACCATGGAAGTTTATGAAACTGCACTTTTCAAGCAAATAATAATTTTGAATCTTTTTTACACTTCAAGATGGGGAAAAAGTAGATTAATATTTATGTCAGTGTTCTTATAAAAATATTAATTCTAAATATTATCATTACTTACTATAAGTAAACATATTTAGTTATAAATATGACACACTGATACGGCATACCAAATCTGAATTAATACTTATAGTTGAGGGGCTTTTGCATAACCAGAAAACCGTGTTTGTTAAATATTTTTGTGTTCAACATTTTAAAAGTAAATACAACCAATGAGAAAAACATGCAGATTCTATTTTTTTCTTAGCTGTTATTTAAAAATAACAATAGCAATGTATGCTTTCCATTATTTATCGTACTCCTTTTGCAATTGAACCAATACTTGTTTTCCAACTTCCTTGCTTTTATCTACAATAGATGCAATATACATTTTCAAGTATAAAATTCTTAAGATCCTCCCATTTGTATATAATGCATTGAAGAACTTGCTACATATCATCTTAATATTAATTGATGCAACAGTCGCATTTATTTGCACACGTATACAATATCGAATGCCCAAGAAGCTAAATGGTTTATGTAGGATTATGGATAGCAAACACTGTCTATGTGAATACTATAAAAAAACCTGGCTAGGTACAGTCCAATTTCTCTCAGTATTTTCTTCTGCAAAAGCTAGGTTGTTCATACAGAGGGAGCTGGTTTTATGACACAAAATAATAATAACAGATAAAGGGATTTGAACAGGGAGTAAAAAGACGGTATCTATAATAGTTTCTAAAAGTTCAAAACTAGATCATATAATTCAATTGAGATTCTCTTAAGGCAATCATCTCATGTTTGTTTGTTTTTTTTTCTTAAAGAAAGCTACTTATGTTTCTTTATCAGTGTTTCAGAAGCAAAAAGAAAAAATATTTCAAGTAGCATGTTAATATAGGATGTGATTATTTTGATGATCAACTTATGTAAATATAGCACATTGTCTAATTTTTCAATCTAACAAGTGAAAATAGTGTTAAAAGTTGTTAATAAAAATAAAAAGCAAGGAACTCTTATCTGAAGTCCAGAGGTGTGAATGAATTTTGGCTTACCGTAGAGAAAGTGTTATATGTTTGTTTTTCAGGAGCTTTAAAGAATTAGCATGAGGTTGAAGATAATTTTATAAAAGCTGGCTCATAGTTGTATTATTGAATGTGAGCCATTTTTGTTGTTACTATTTAATTTAACTGTTAGTTTTGACTGAGAAGAGGATTAAAAATCCTTAATACACATATTGCCATGTCACTGCCATGGCTCCATTCACACTGTAGGTTATATTTAGAAATCTACTACAAAATTTTACAGTACCCACCCCTATGTAATTTAATAACCTTGTTTGTGTCAACTGACAGTTCTGCTCACGTCACTCAACTATCTGATGTCAAGGGGCTTTGGTTTCTAAAACGGAATACCTGATAGTACCGTCCAGGTTTTCCATGATGAACATTGTTTAGTAAACCATGCTGTTCTACTTCATAATCTTAATTTAAATTGTGAAGTTGGCCATGATTTTAAAATTTCTTTTGCTACATTTTGGGCAAAAACATAGTGTTTCTTCTGTGGGATACTCAGAATTTATTGATTAAATGGACCATTATGTTTTAATTTACATATTTCATTTTTGGGAGATTCTGTGATACATTGATTCCCCCTTATAGCCAAGTAGTGATTTGAGTTTCTTTGCTGATCAGCGAGTGCTGGGGTTTGCATTTTCAGAAGGTGGTGGAAGAGCCAGGCTAAAGCAAATTTTCCCAAAGAAGGAAAAAAATATGCCTTGAGACAATGCAGTTTTTCTAGGAAGAGCTGGAATGCAATGCAGTCACTTAGAGCTCCTCCTCCTCTGCCCTTCCCATCAAATAAACCATAGCTTAAAGCCTCAGCAAATTGTACTGAACAAAACCGTGAAAGCAGACCAAAAAACTGGTAGAGATTCACTTATGATTCAATATACACCAGAAGTGCAAGTATTCACAGCATTGGATGTAAAGCCAAGGCCAGGACTCGGTACTTCACAGGAAAGGAAACTCAGGAGACTGCCAAGTCATTTCACAATTTCAGTATATTTTTGCAGGCTGGAGAAGGAGGAGGGTTGTTTAGTTTTGTAGGGAGGTGTGCCCATCCTGCTCTCTCACAGATGAACATTCTTCTAGTTCAATACAAACAAAATATTTGTAAATCTTTATTATGTTTCCAGAACTCACAGAAAAGCTTACCTCTTTTTCTTTCTTTTTTTTTTTTTTTTTAACTTTCTTTTTGAAGCCTTGAGTCTCTCTAAACTGAAGCACACCTCATTTCCTGAAATGCAGACAGGAATCGTGTTTCCTGCTGTATTTAGCTTTGCTCAGGAAAATACCACTAGATGTGACTGTAAAAACTGAGTCCTAATAGTAGCACAGTTATGCTTTAGAGCCTCCCAAGACCTCTGAAGAACGGATGGAGAGCAGAAGCCTTTTTCATGACCTCTAAATCCTATCATGCATGGATGACAAAAAACTAAAGCACCTATAAAAATTTCCTGCATAACCGAGATGTATGAGTAAGAACATGTTACATGACACTCAATCCTGCTAGATGCTAAACACGCACATCTCCCACTGACTTAATGACAGGTCCTCAGGACCACTTAGAAGATTCTCCAGAGGCAGCAGGATCTGCCCTGGTTGTCTGGCTGGTCATTAAGTCTTTTTTTCACAAAGAAGGAGCTGTGAATAACTCAGAGTGAAAGTCTGCTGTGTAAAACCTGTTTGTCGTGACAATTTTGTAGAGATTGTAATCTCCAAAGTAAAATGGATGTTATGGACGAATGACACTGGCAATAGTATACATTAAATTGAATAATCAAAGAATTAATAAGTTCATTAAATTATTGCAGTGTCATAACTACATCTTTGTTTGGTTAGGTATGAAGATACACTTCCTGAGACAGTAATCATGAAACTTGTATCTTCATATGGAAAAGAAAGAAAGGTTCTTTGTTGTTTTATGCGAGCGTCTTTTGTTCCTTCCTCTGCTTTTTTTTCTGTTTTTCTTCTTTGGCTGCCATCTGGCATGTTTCCCTGAACTAGAGGAATGGTCATGCGGCTGAAGCTACTGCCAACACCACTTCTGCAGGCAGCTGCTTGTGGCATTGGTACAGAAGGAGGCAGATTCCCTCCTGCCAGATAATTGTACTCCAAGCCACTAAACTCTTGGGAGCTGGGCTGGAAAGTGGAATCTCTCTCTCAAACAGCAATTTTCAGGAATCCCTTCTCTAAGGGGATTTCTTAATAATGTCAAAGCTTTCTTAGTGAGCAGAATGTAATATTCTAACTTTTTTGTTATTACAAGTCTTGTAATGAAATGGGAATAGAAACCAGGTTAAAGTTTATTATTTTATTTATTAGGGATTAGAGTCCCAGCACACTGGAACTACTTTGGTTCCTTTTTACTAGTCATTCAACATTGGGAAATAAAATATTTGAATGCGTAAGTGTGGACTTTTTGAGTGAACGTGATGAGTCACACAGCCATGTCACCATTAAAATGATGTTTTGAGTCTCATTCAGACTTATTTTAGGCAAATCTGCATGTCAAAATGTCATCATACCCAATTCAGACATTTGGTTATGTTATTTTGAAATCTTGGGAAAAGTGGCAAAATAGCAAGGCATATTGCTAGTCAGGTTAAGTAGCAGTAAGAAAGCAGGTGCACGTGAGTCATACTTGACTCTTGGTGTTGCTGCAGACTTACGTCGCTGGCAAAACTCTTATAGAGTCCCTCATAATGACCTAATACAAAGAGTCCCTACACCATTTCCTAAAATCTCAGACAGTCAAGTCGCAGTCCATAGGTCCCCAACAGCAGGAAAAAAAACAGAAGACAAGTAACATGTTCAAAAATTTCAGCTTTTGCTTAAATTTCTCACACATAGTTGATCCTCACACAGATAGGTTGAGTGAGTCTATCACAGTGGGACAGGTTGAGTCTATCAATGTTTCTTATTGTTGCTTTGAACTAGCGTTACCTGAGTGCTTATTCTGTGGGATTTTGTTATTCTTCCTACTGCCTTAGAAGTGATTTAGTGTGAAATACACAGAAAACGGAAGTATATCTATAGGTATTTTGCAAACAACAACAAGTTTTTTCCACTTTATGCTTAAGTGAGCTCTAACAGCCTAGACTGATGCTAAGCCAGGACCTGTATGAATAACCATCAGGAAATTTTCTTTTATACACAGTGAAGTAAATTATGATGACTGGTGTTGCTATGGTTTACAATAAATAAATGGCTGGTCTTTGCTGTTTGTGGCTGAAACAATCTCCCTACAAAGCTGTCCTTCCAGATTTGGCTGGGAGCAAACATTAGAATCCCTTGGGATGCAGAAAAAGATTACAGCAACCATAAACACCAGGAAATACTCAGCTTGATTTACAAATTTTAGATGCCCATGGATATTTAAGTTAATGTCAGGACTATCTGACTTGCAATTCCCTGGTGTCTAACAAATTCTAGGAGCACTATAAATAGATCTATCATTCAATCTGATACTGAATACATCAGGAACAAGCTGACGCTAGTTCAGCATGTACCATGTCAAAATGTTGTAATTAATTTCTAGATGCTGCATTAAACAAGAAGAAATGTGGTACGGGGGTAACCTAAGAATGTTTAATTTATGCCACTGTAGAATATGTTTATGTCCATTGTGGATAGATTTTTTTTTTTTTTATTGCAAAGGAAATTGAA